ATAAACAATAAAATAAAAAAATCCACAGGGAAAATGTGAATCCATATTTTTAAGGACACAAAGGTGAAAAAACAAAAAAACAAAACAAAACAAAATGTCCAGAATGGATAGCTAGGCAACACATTATTGAATAAACTGTTTTAGGAAAGTTTATTAAGCTATGTTGCAGATATTAACCTTAGACTCTCACTGGAATTTTCCAATAGATGCCACATAAATACTTGGATTCTGAGAAAAAACTTTTTACTTAAAAAGCAAGGGCAGTATTTATGCATGCACATAAACACACATACACACACACACACACACACACACACAGAACAGAAACTATAGTGTGCATACATTAAATGCAAATGACAATATATCAGATTTGTTCTTATAAGATCCTAGATGTTTAGAGCTAGAAAACTGTAGAAATCTTTTAGTAAGGCTTCTCTTTCTATAGACGTAAAAATGAAGTAAAAGTGATCAAATGATATTCCCAAGTCACTGTTAGTATTTGATTTAGGAAGAATTAAGAACAGTCTTCCTCAGTCAACAGAGGAACCAGACAATGACAATAATGATACCATATGAATTTTTACCAATTCTCAGACAATAACTAATGGAATAGTCTGAAATGTAGCCCTTCTATGACTGGAAGATAAAGGACCTTTACATGGGGTGGTAAAATGTGAGACACCTTAATTTATGAACGTGAAGAGAGACTATCAAAGTGGGGCTTGTTTGTATCAGAAAACTTCCCTTCTGAATGCAGAACAGGACTAGAATCAACAAAGGGGAGTCTTTATTCACTCTTTGCAAGTGGCTTCTTGAGGACATAAGAGAGGACATGGAGGCATTTGAGCAATGCAGCGAAGTATGGGAAAAGATGCAACCCACTGTCTCCCTCAGGAGCAAGACATATGCCTGAAAATGGATCTGCTTCTCAGCAGAAAAAGCAGAGACTAAATGCAGTAATGAGTTGGCTTCTGAAAGGATCCAGGAGGAGACAGAGCTGGCCAGTCACTTACACTGGCCCTTACCCTGGCTTCCAGGGGGATAATAGTGAATCTTGACTGAGAGAGACATTGGCTTTGAATTTGGGTTTGCATATCTTGCAAATAAAGCAGATACTACAACTACCATTAGCATGAGCCTAGAGCAAAAGTGTTATTTTAATGTGGGTGCTGGTTATCTAATTAAGAAACTCCAAGTAAAATTCAACGATGAGTTACAAAGCATCATAAACAATAGACTTATCATATACATTCCCATACACAAAATCTTAAACCGATAAAAACTGGAATGGGCAACCGAAACCCCACTTACAAATTGGAGAATGATAAGAGACTCAAGGGATGTTTTTTACAACTGAACGAATATGTGTTAAAACTTAATATACATGTCATTAAAGGGAGATCACTATTGGATATTGCTGAGATATTGTAAAAGACATGGAGAAGATAGTAGGAATAATACAGGCACTCACAGAAATCTTTCTTTCTAAAAAATTTGCTTTGCTCTTTTGTTGGTGGTTCATTCATTGCATTTGTAGATTCCAGAATGAGCATCATTTGCTGAACACAACACCATGACAATACATGTAAATGTTACTGCTGCTCATATTCTTGAGAGAATGATATTGTGGATCATTCTTTCTGTTTACCTTTTCAAAGTTGGATTAATGGTTTCTGTCTCTTTCCTACCTGGTGGATGATGCAGGCCTATATGCTTGGATGTATCCAACCCTACTCCATGTAACCGAGCATTGATAAAGAGGAAACATTGACCATATTTATGTTGCTGCCAACTTTATGAGTCAGTCCTCTAGCTGAACCTAACAGTCCTACTTCAAGGAGAATAATCTAAATAAAATAAATTAAAAATGGAAGAAAAGAGAAGTGACTGCTGATATAACGGGAGCCTATAGAAAGCACTTTGACATGCTCTAAAATGTATTTGAATGTTACTACTACCTATATGATAGTATCCTGGGGAAATCAACATTTGGAGTTCAAAATATATACTCAGACTCTACTCAAGCAATAAGCAGTTCAATGGCAACAAAATGTTTAATATAGAAATCAACATTGACTGAATCATTCTAACTGTTACTTAAAATTGCCCTGGGAATTACAACTGAAGTGTTCAATGAAATTTCTTCCAACTGCAGGACCATGTCCTATACATTTATTAAAGCCATACATGAATACACACTTTGAAATCTCATGTGTTCTGTAAAATATCCTACCCTGGGTAAGTGCTGCAATTTTTAATTTGAAGATGTGGCCTCTCTTAAAATTTAGAAAATTAGTGAATATACAGTCTGCATTATCTCATAGCAGCAATCCACTGGAATGAGCAATGTCGTCTTTTACACAGGCCATGTGTTGTGACCTTGTCATGGCTCCCAGTCCTCACCAGCACTGTCCTGTTTCTTAACTGGAGGAGGCATCATTCCCCTCAGGGTTTATGTTCCCGGAGTGCATTCTCACAGATGCTTACATTATGTACATAACATGATGTGATTATGTCCACGATTAGCTTCAAAATAATCTGAAAGAAGAAGATAAGTGGGTACGGATAATGATAAAGAAGGTTGACCGTGTGTTGGCAATTATTTAAGTTCTATGATTGGTATGAGCTTTATTAAATTATTCTCACTCTTTTGTTAAATATTTGAAAATGAACATTTCCAAAAGAATGCTTTAAAGAATATATATACTATATATATATATATGTGTGTGTGTATAATAAATAGATGTGTGTGGATATATGTAACCAGAGCTATAAACATATTTGGGGAAATTCATATTATGGTATTTAGGGAAGTAATATGACTTTTCTAAGGGTAATTCAGTCAGAATTTAAAAAGTTTATACCACCTAGCCTATTAATTTCATTTCTTAGAATTTATCCTGTGAAAACATGTGCATTTTTTACAAACTAAGTGCTCAGAGTATATCTAATATCAATCAAAATAAAACTGTGATGTATGTGTGACTTCTAGTTAATAAGTGAAACATTAAAAATGATATCTCTGGGAGGCAGCCATAATGACATTTTTCTTTTTTATGCTTTTTTATTTTTTCAGAATTTTAGAAAATATTGATTTATGAATCAGAATAATACAATTAACAATCTGTTGCAGATTTCCTGATTTTTCAGAGGGAAATTCACTAGTGAATCTGTAAATTTTCTGATTGTTGATTAGCATAAGCACACCTGTCTATATCAAAGCCCTATTGCACCCACTTTGATATATCTGTGGAATATTTTAGCAGGTGATCAGTTCAACCTGATATGAGCCTGCATATAAGATGTTGACACTCTTGGTATTATAGGGAAAAAAATTAAGATTAGGTGCTAAAGAAGTGGCTAGAAGAGTAGAAATAACATTTTTTACATGCCTAACACTTTGCTGACATAGGTCGAAAGTTAAAGAGAATTAAACAAGAATCAGATGCAAACGTAGGACCTCTGGTGCAGAGGAAGAAGAGGCATCAGAAGTTCAAATGTCATCATCCACATGGTCTTGTACGTGCCTTTCAGAACAGAAGCAAAAGCAATGCCAACGGGATCCAACCCAGAGGAGAGGGACCAGCTGCTGTAGGTTCTCTGAAGTGACAACACTCCAATTCTAGGGGGACAATAGCAGGACAGCAGGATTTGATGACTGGATCATTTAGTTAAAAACCTGAGTCAACCTGAAGGAAGTAGACTGGCAAAGAGTGAAGAGTCTATGTAGAAGACATGGAATAATATCGTGTTCCAAGACAAATAGGAAAGAGGAAAATTGAGTAGGAAAATAAAGTCAAAGCCCAGCTAGCATTAAAGGGCTAAGAGATTCATAGGAAATAGTAATAATGGACAGTGTAGCCCAAAGATACCCTGTGTTCAGCATTGGACTTCTAGACAAGTAATCTACAGAGAAAGAAAAAGGAATATGATAGATTTACTGAGGAGCTTCAACTCATTGGAGAATAACAAGAACTGATTTTTATTTTCCCTATCACTCGCTCTTTCTGATCCTATAGGAACATCCCAGGAGGATTCAAAATGGTTGTGTCTATTCTGGGGCTAGGATACTCACCTTCCTCCCTCTCCTAGATTAGCTCCTCTGCTAGTCTGCAGCCTTGAAAGCTCAGCAGGCCTTCACTCTTCAAGCCAGATGCCAGACTCTCCTCCTTCGTAGGCACCCAAAACCTGAAGAAGCTCTTGAAGCATCTGTGCACTTGGCTTGAATTGGAACAGAGTTCCTGTTCTTTCCCAGAGACAATGGTGAAATACCTCTCACCGCTCATTGTGCACTTTCCATAAGGTACAACATTCCCATGATTATTTCTTCTCCTGCCTAGTCTCCTCTTTATATAGACATGGGGGAAGGGCACGGAGGGTATGATTTATATTAATGGGGTGACTTTCAGGCAGTGATATCTGGCTCTAGTTATTAATAGTTTAGAGTAAAAGAGGTGCTAAGTAGTAACTTTTAGTCCTCAACCCAGAGTCTTAGCTTCAATTCTGAAATTCTAGGACACTAAGAAGCTGGTACTATGCTAGGTGCTTTCTCCAACTGATTCAAACTTGTAAATGACATTGGGACCTGGATTTTATTTATTTCCTCATTACAAGTAAGATAAATATTGCTGAGAAAGAATGAATAATCTAGCCAATATCATTTAGTTTATGAAACTGCAGATTTTATACTATTGCCTATTTCCGAAGCTTATGTATGATTGTTTTCCACTATGTTTCTACACATTTCACCAGACATACTCATTTCAGATATCAAAAAGAGATGATACCCTGATGGAATTCATTTATTATGTTTGTAAAATCTGGATAAGGGCAAGTTGGAAATTGAGTTTGTAGCAAATTATGGTTCTCAGTGATGATAGCTGAGCAGGGCTGGTGAAGTCAAAGGATAAGAATACCTCTCTCCCTAACTATGGTTTCTCTAAAAAAGGTTCTCATTGATCTACTTATAAGTCCATATTTAGACCTGTTACACAAAAGACCAACATTTCTGGTGTTCTTAGTGAATAGATTTTTGGTTCAGCAGATATTTTACAGAAGCTTTCACATCCTTATTCCTCAAGCTGTAGATTATAGGATTCAGCATGGGGGTCACTACCCCATAAAACAGAGAAATGAGCTTGTCTGAAGTTTGTAACTTATCTTTTCCATTCAGGTCTTGAGACTTGGGTTTTGCATACATAAAGAAGATGGTACCATAAAATATGATCACCACAGTCAGGTGAGCTGAGCAGGTAGAAAAGGCCTTGCGTCTCCCTGTGGCTGAGTTCATTCTCAAGATGGTGTAGAGGATGAACGTATAGGAGAAAAAAATGACCAGCAGAGGAAGAACCAGGAAGGCCATATTTGATATCACCATGGTGACAATATTGAGGGATATATCAGCACAAGCTAGCTTGAGGACAGCTAATATTTCACATGTGAAATGATTGATATTATTCCCACAGAAAGGCAATCTCATGGCAAGTGATGTTTGCACGACTGAATTGATTCCACCAGAGATCCATGACACAGAAGCCATCGGTACATACACCACTTTGTTCATGATGATGGGGTATCTCAGAGGGTTGCAGATGGCCACATAGCGGTCAAATGCCATCATGCCGAGAAGCAAACACTCTGTTGATCCCATTGCAAACCCAAAGAACATCTGTACCGCACATCCAGAGAAGGAAATGTTTCTTTTCTTTGAGATCAAACTCACCAATGTTGAGGGAACAGAGGAAGATGTATAGCAGATATCCAGGAAAGAAAGGTTGCCCAGGAAGAAGTACATGGGAGTGTGAAGATGAGAATCAAAGATGCTTGCTATGATCAGAACACTGTTGCCAATTAGAACCACTAGGTACATAACTAGAATCACAGCAAAGTAAATAATCTCAGTTTTGGGGTATCCAGAAAGACCAAGAAGAAGAAATTCTGATACAAGTGTCTGATTAATCTCACTCATGTTATCCACTTTTAGGATATCAGAAGAATAACTAACATAAGCTATATTCACTGCAAAGAAATCACTGCTGCAAATTATCCGAAGGATCATTCTTTTAGAATGCATTAGGAGTGCTTGCTTGAAGCTCTGACATCCAGTTATCTTCAATAACATCCGTTACTAAACACAATGAGTTTGGGAATGACGGAAGTGCCTATACCCCATCAGCAATATGTTAAGATTTACCTATAATCAGACACACACACAGAAGTAACATTTCCTGCTGTTGAGGACATGTTCCTGAGTTGAGGACACTCCCCTTAGTTGAGGTTTCTAAAACCCCTGGCTAATTATCAACTATAAGCCTAACTTCTTCATTTCTTCTGCCCCAGCAAACAAGCAGTGGAGCAGGCAAATGATTACTCAACAAACACTGGAATTTTGATTCAGCAATTAACAAAGTAATTAAAGTGTCACAGCAACTTTGATTTTTTTGTGTATATATTTCTTTCTAGGCCTGACACTGCGCACTTTACATTAGGTCAGTTTAACAATGTATTATATGGACAGTTAATCATAATAAATTGAATGGCATAACCTGAACTGTAACATCTATTTAAAGCATAGTTCGTTATTGATCTCATAGTTCAGCCCACTCTTAGAATCTTGTATGACTGTTCATATGACAAGACCACTGCATAGATCAGTTCCACGCAAATGTGATGAAGAATCCTTGGAGAACATTAAATAGTCTCTTTATATATTTATTCTGTAGCTTGAGAAGAGTTCATCTTGATAATGTATTCATTTAAGTCAACCTAAAAAATAGTAATGTTTAAATATTTTATATAAATATATATATTGCCTTATAATTTATAAAGTATATTCTGTATATATTGTCAGTTTTTCAAATATAAAGGATGGAACTTGATGAAGATGAACCAGGTAGTAAATAATAAAGTGGAGTTTGAAGCTAGTATCTTTGACACAAAATCTAGTTAATGGCTTCACTAATTTTCATATTCATAGGGAGCACCTGGGGTCTTAAAAACCTTCAGATTCTCTTTTAGTGTTCAGGGCAGGTCTTGAGATTAAGTGCCCAGGTGATGCTTATGCAACTGGCACAAAAAGCACTTAAGTAGCAAGGCTTTAATCTACCCTGAGTGGGCACATTAGCTAAGTGTTTCTGACTGAAAACAATTTTCTTTTGTCTTATTATACAGATTGACATAACAACCTGGAAATCATCAAGAACATAATTCTTTTGTGTTTTGCAAAAAATCTCCAGATTAACACCATATCGTTAAATACTCCTTAAAAATATTTTTGAAGGACACATTTTTAAAAAGGAGAATAAACTTGTATGAGACTACAATAGTTTTAGAATATTATTAACAGCTACCTTCGACTCAGTCATGTTCCAAGCACAGTAAGGATAAATAAAAGAATAATGTAAATTTCCTGCTATTACCAAGTTAACAATACATTTAGGAATACAGGAGAAGTACTTATGAAAATGTGTAATGAATATAGTTACATTCCATAGCTTGGACGAAAATTATAGTTTTTCCCAGAAGGAAAAGATTTATGAGAAATAATCAGGCAAGAAAGAACTGAGGAGGAGTTTCAGATTTAGGCTGAATCTGGAAGTATAGGATTAGACAGGTTTGGAGAAGAAGAGGAGTATCTTAAAAGTCAGAAGCCGAACCAAAATTAGGAGTAAGCAGATTGGCAGCACATCATTCTCAGACAAGGGAGTTTCTGTAAAGGAGTGGTGTCAAGTGCATCTGAGAAGGAAAGTGTGGTAGACGTGTAGAAAGCCTCGAAAATCAGGCAAAGCATTTGGCACTTGTTTTGGTGGGGAAGAGGTCCATCATTAGAAAGCAGAGAGCATGGGGTAATTGCCTACCGTCTGTTACCTTAGCAACCATCTAATCTGGACTTCATATAATATGGTATTATACGATTTTTGAATAGAAATGTAACTCAAGGAATTAAGATATTTATATTAATGAGGTTGTCACTGATTGTTGACTAGATGTGAAAATTTATCTTTTCATAATCACCACAAGATATGAGTTTGGTCAAAATCACAAGTTTAGGCCTTGTATGGCTAATAGTTTTGAGAATTCCAGCACCTCCACTCTTTCCCCTTCTGTGACATAGTTTGTCACATGGTAGTAGTTGAGAAAATTTCAGTCCATCAGATATTTCCAGGAATCAGAAATCCAAATTGTCAGGATTCTTACAGGGGAAATTTAGTTAAGAATACATGATAGAAATATTTACGCTCTGAAGAGAAAGACAAAAAAGGGAATATACAATCTCAATCTTAGAGTTGACAAAACTGAGTCCACAGGAGATTGTTAATTTTTATTTATTCAGCTTAAGGCAAGAAACAAGGAAGACAGTAAGGGAGGAAAGGAGGAAGGAAAATAGAAAAGGAGGAAAAAGAGAGAGAAAGAAAGGTAGAAAGGAAGGACGGGAGGGAGGGAGGAAGGAAATATCTTCATTTCATTTATTTATCCAACTTTTATTGCAGGATCCGATGTGCCATATTTTCTGCCAGGTCAGCAAGAGTCATAGCAAAATTGGGATCAAAAAGACAAATTGACTGTACTCATTCAAAAGTGCCCAGAGAGAAAAGGGGCAATTATTCTACACTACTTCTTATGATAAACCAAAATTCTCCTCAAACGAGGTACAGAAATTGGTCAGAAGGTGCACTGGGCAAGGGATACATGCACTCAGTAGCCCAGGCACAAATGCAAAAGGAAGAAGACTGCAAGACTTTCACTCAAATCCACCTTCAGCCAGGCTGTCTGGCTGCCTTTTGTTTTCTTCCGTTCTCTCTCTTTAAATTCATTTTATCATATATTGTGAGGTAACGAGAGACATGGGGAAGGAGCTGGCTCATCTCTCCACAGCTAAGTCTAACACGGTGTCTGCACAGCGTAGACGGGTTTTGACTGAATACATGAAGGTTTACTTTCTAGGCTGTCAACCATTTTCCCTGCGGCAAATTTGTGGATTCATGAGCAGGATGACTTTTATACACCACATTCATACTTTTGTAGCAGGCTTTAATTTTTTTAAAAATAGTATCTTTCAGTCAGTGCTAACAAGCTGCTATCTTATAATCGCCCACTTATGCCCTGTAAGTATAGAGGGATCACCTAATACTCAACTGAGTATGTAAGATATGGGTTTATCAGAGTGGAAAATGCCTCAAACTAGAATCAAAGTCTTCGGTTTGAAGTTCTTTGCCCATAATTTAAAGCCTCAGTTTTCTTATTTGTGAAATAGTGATAAAAATACCTGTATTACTTTTCTTTCAGGGATATTGTAAGTAAATAATCAGTGTATGGAAATTGCTTTAAGGATTAATGAATATAATACAAATAATAATTAAATAATAATTCACAGCATATCTTGGTGATAATAAATTGGTACCTGTATTGCTTCAGGTTATTCAGATTAAAATTCATACTGAATAATGCATTTCATTATAGATTCAGTTTAATTTAGTTTAATTGCAATACAGTTTCATGGTATGACGGACTTACCTTTATAGTGATAAATTAACTTCCACTTCCTACAAGAATCACGTACTGTTTGCTTGGTATTTATGAAAGAATTATGAATTAAGATCAGGTTCAACAAAAGATGCCAGATTACTTAGATGTGGAAGAGTAAATATTTGTTATGCAACACTTATTGTAATTGTTTCCCAATTCCCAAAGCAATTTAAAGTTGGTGTGCAAGATCTGTGGAACGGAGAAACTTATGGGGCGTCTGGGATGGTGTCCCACAGATCCAATTAAGAGTGATGCTGGGTTGTTTCCACATCTTTGCAATTGTGAATTGTGCTGCTATAAACATTCGGGTGCAGGTGTCTTTCATATAGAGTATCATTTGTTCTTTTGGGTAGATGCCCAGTAATGGGATTGCTGGATCGAATGGTACTTCTACTTGTATCTCCTTAAGGTATCTCCAAATTGCTTTCCACAGA